GGGCCAGAACCCCCCCCCTCGACCTGCTGGCCACGCTTCTCCCGATGCAGCCCAGAGTACGGTTGGCCTTCTGGGCCACCAGTGCACATTGCCAGCTCCTGTCCAGCTTTTCATCCACAAGTAGCCTGTCCCGGTGGTCACCGGCTGAATCTCGGAGGTGGACACTAATCCTGGTACTCAGTGAGCACCGTCCCCTATAGATCCTGTCTTACAGGAGTAACTCTTCTTTTTTTTTTTTTTTTTTTTTTTTAATCTCTGCTTCATAGATTGGGATGTTGAAGCATAGAGAAATTAGGTCATTTGCTCAAATCTTTAAAATAAGTGGCGGAATAGAAACTAATTTAAGTTTGCTGCCTGGTAATCCTGCCTGGACCATTTGATCACTTATTGTTGAAAGAAAAAAAAAAACCAAACCCAAACCTGCCTGGGTAGTCTCACTTGATCTCCCTTGCAACTCTGATTTTGCTGGTTGTATTTTCCAGAATTGAAGGGGTTAGGGGGTGGGAGTTGCAAATTTTAAGTGCTGCTTTGATGCATCCACTGAAGACCTTCCTGGCAAAAAAAGTGCCTTAACCCTGCTGTGAAACCAATTCCAGTGAGGAATGTGGCTTTTCCTCTGAAGGCGTAATGGACAGCTGCAACCTGAAGTTGAAGAATTCACTTAGAAAGTTCAAGAGTGAAATCTTCACTTGGGGTCATAAACGATTTCTAGGAAAAATAATATTTTATTTTTTTTTTAAAAAGGGAAAATTTGTCCAAGAGTACTTAAATTACTTTCCAAAAGACAAATTGAGTTGAAACTACCAATGCAATGGTATGATTTCATACTGTAAACAATAACTTCTGTTCCTGTGTAGTTTGCTGCCACGAATGTCAAGAGAATGAAGAAGCCTTTTTAACTTTTCACTGTTGTTTTTTTCAGATTCCTGCCTTTCACAGTGTGTATCTGTGAAATTTCCAAAAGAACAGCAGGCTTTCTCAGTGAGTGAGATTTACCAAGTTCAAGAAGGGAATTAGGTTCGCACTGTTAACTTTGGTACATTAAACAGGCCCCAAAAGATAAAGCTGCTAACATACGATTTTATGTGACTTTCTAATAGTGTATACTTGGATTGCAGAGGTTCTATACAAACAGTCTTGCCAAGACAGCAAACAGGTGTTTAAAAAAAAAACGTTAAATAATGTAACAGCTGAAAGCTCTGGTTATTAAATATTTAAGAGCATCCTTTTCCTTTACTTCTAAGGAGTTCTGTGAGGAACTTTTTCCTTGTCTTCTGTTACTAGTTTGACAATCTCTAAAGATCTCTAAAGGTAGCAGTCACTGTCTTGGCGGGGAAAGCATGAGCTGACAACACTGGAGCTGTTGTTGAAGGCCCCTGGTTCCTCTGTGGCAAGGTGCACCTTTAGAAGCGGGTAGAGAGTGAGGCAATTTGTATGTAATTCTTCTGAATTACGGAGGTGAACTTGAACTGTTGTTAAAATGTTGTTGGAAGCACATGGCCTAAAAATGGTGTCATAAAAAATAGTCTTGAGTGGTCAAGCATATTTTTTAAATGGAAAAAAGGAAAAACATATGCAAGATGACATTATGAGAGAGGAGAGTGACAGCAGGTATTCGGGTCTCATAGTCTGCAGCATATTTGTGAGGAATGTGGCAATATTGTTCAGGTTAGGATAAGCACAAGGTGTAGTTCTGGCATCCCAGGGAAAGATACAGCCTTAGGTATGCAAAGCTTGGGCAAAGCTTTGTCCTTTATTTAGATATTTTCCAGGTTTCTGTTGGATTATAACTTGTCAAAGGCTATTGTTGTTAGAACAACTCGTCCCCTTGTTGTGTATGATTTGGATAAAACTTCTGGTATATCCCAGTTTGGTAGTGAATTCCATTGTCTGCCTCCCCCAATATGATCCCAGTATAGTCCTTGAACATACCAGTTATTTTTTACATGGACTAATGCAGTATTTCTGTCTGTCCAAGACTTTTGCAAGGGGTTTTTTTGTGAACAACTTTGTTTCTAAAGCTGAGCAGAATTTTTCTTATCTCCTGCAACTTAAAGTATAAAATTCTGCACACCAGTTTCATGTTTCTTGTAATAGCTACATGTTGCCCCAGTGAGTTATAGCAAAGCATGAAGAAGGAAGAGCAGGAGTTGGAATTTTTGAGAAGAAACCAACTGATGCAAAGAGTGTGCATAGGCACAGTGTAAGCAAACCCACTCGAAGGTTGTATTAATGACAGAGGAGAAGCAGTTACACCTGGCAAGGCTGCAGGTTGTGCATCTGTATTGGAAAGGAAGATGGTGGTAAAGACGATAAACGTGATTCCTGTGTGACACTATTCTGTGCTAATGGAATGTTGGTTCTAAAAAATTGTGACATCTTTGGGGGAAGTAGACACCGTTTGTAAGGTAGACTTTTATCTAAAAGTTATGCTAGATGATTTGCTGTTAAATACATTCTTGGAACAGTTGCCCTTTATTAGGTTATTCTTTCCAAGGGCTAGCTGCTGAAACAGGCTTGTAGTTGGTGAGGCTGAATTTGATGCAAGGAGTCGTATTTCATTCTAGCCCAATTGATAATCTGCCTAGAAAACACAGACAAGTTTTTGGGCATGTGGGCTTCTTTGGGTCTGTAATACAGCA